AATATATATATATATATATATATAAGAAAAAGGAGAGAGAAGGTATAAGAAGGAAAAAGGAGACAGAAAGAAAAGGAGACACAAAAAAAGGAGACAGGTATAAGAAAGAAAAAGGAGACAGGAAAGGAGACAGGAAAGGAGACAGGTATAAGAAGGAAGAGGAGACAGGAAAGGAGACAGGTAATAAGAAAAAGGAGACAGGTATAAGAAGGAAAAGGAGACACAAAAAAGGAGACAGGTATAAGAAGAAGGGGACAGGTATAAGAAGGAGGAGACAGGTAGAGGAGACACAGACACGTACATAGCTACATACAAACCATAAGAAAGGTAAACAGCAGCAGCAGCAGCAGCAGCAGCAGCAGCAGATAAAAGTCTGCTGCTGCTGCTGCTCTTATTTTGCTGCTAGCTTTCTTAGTGTTTGTCTTTTCTTTTGAACTATTCCTTCGTTGTGCTGCCAGCAGGCAGTACGTGCTGCTCCTGCTGCTGTTGCTGCTGTTGCTGCTGCTACTGCTGCTGCTATCAAAGTGCTGTCGAGTCCCCTACTGCTGCCTTTGCTTCCGCTACTGCTGCTGCTGCTGTTGTTGCTGCTGTTCGTGCTGCTCGTGTTATGTTAATTGAAATAGTGTTACTTTAGAGGCAGCAGCAGCAACAGCAGCAACAGCAGCAGCAGCAGCAGCAACAGCAGCAGGAAGTAGCTGCTACCAATCTTGCAGCATAGAGAGCAGCAGCAGCAGCAACAACAGCAGCAGCAGCAGCAACAGCAGCAGCAGCAACAACAACAGCGTAGTCAGCAGGAAATATGCCAAGACAGAACTTTATATTTTATACTAAAAGCTAATGCGTTGCTGCTGCTGCTGCTGCTCCTGCTGCTGCTGCTGCTGCTGTTGCATGCTGGAGGTCACCTTTACGTATCGAGGTCTACATACACCACAAGATAGATCTTTGTCTTTGCTGCAGCAGCAGCAACTGCAGCAGCAAATATATATTTATTATATGAATTTATTCCAATTATAATTAATAAATAGGGAGAGGCTGCTGCTGCTGCTGTTGCTGCTGCTGCTGCTGTTGCTGCTCGGAGGGGGTCACACTCGGTAGCGAGAGTGATCTGTGCGGCTCCTGCTGCTCCTGCTGCTCCTGCTGCAGCAGCAGCAGCAGCAGCAGCAAATCGATTTTACATCCTCTATTTATATTCATAAGACAAAAAGAAGATCGATTCAATAGAAGAAGGCTGCATGTGCATGCAAAAATAGCTGCTGCTGCTGCTGCTGCTGCCGGTGCTGCTGCTGCTGCTAGATCTTCAGCTGCTGCTAAAGATCACGTGTTGCATTTATGTTCCTCTTTCTGGTGTACGTACACCTCACTGCATGCATGCATGCAGCTCCTTGCATGCAGTTTTTGCTGCCTCCCTTGCTGCTGCCTTAACTGCAGCAGCAAATGCTGCTGTAAATACCAGCATACACAACCCAATCTCTACAAAGATCGCTGCAGCAGCAGCAGGAACAGGAGCAGCAGCGGCAGCAGCAGCAGCACAACGTGTTAGAAACATGAGGAAGAAGTCCGCCTTAGAGAGACCTGCAGCTGCTGCAACAGCAGCAGCAGCAGCAACACCAGCAACAGCAGCAGCCACATCCAGACCCGCAGCAGTTGCAGCAGCTAGACGAGCAGCAGCAGCAAAAACAAGAGCTGCAGCAGCAGCAGCAGCAGCAGCAAATGCTACAAGGCTAAGAACAAATAGTAGGCAGATTCGAAGCAACCAGCACGCATCAACATGCCCAGCAGCAGCAGCAGCAGCAGCAGCAGCAGCAGCAAGAGCAGAAGCAGCAGCAAAAGCAGCAACATGCTGGGAGAGCAGCAGCGGCACTTGTCGCTGCTGTTCCCTTGAGAAACCCCACTGCAACAGCAGCAGCAGCAGCAGCAGCAACAGCAGCAGCTGCAGCTTAAGCTGCCACAGAAGCAGCAGACTGCACGCCAGGAGCATTTGCTGCTGCAGCAGCACAAGGCGCTCTTGCTGCTGCTGCAACGATGTAGACGAGTATGAATGTCCTGCTGCTGCTGCTGCTGCTGCTGCTAGATCGCAGCAACAAGACATCTGGTACTGCAACCCTAAACAGGAAGATAAAGAAAGACAGTTGTGCTGCTGCTGCCCACCGAGTAGCAGCAGCAGTAGCTGCAGCAGCAGCTGCAGCAGCAGCTGCAGCAGAAGTTGTAGCAGTAGCTGCAGCAGTAGCAGCAGCAGCAACTGTAGCTGTACCTGCATCGGCAGCAGCAGCACCTGTTCCTGCATCGGCAGCAGCAGCAGCGCTTGCCGCAGCAGCAACAGCAGCAGCAGCAGCAGCAGCAGCCGTTGCTGCAGCAGCATAAGCTGCAGCAAATGCATTGAGGAGGGAACTCTGTTGGATGAATCTAACGACACTCGCTGCAGCACGAACGCTGGCAGCAGCAGCAGCAACAGCAGCAGCAACAGCAACAGCAGCAGTCCTTCGTCTCTGCGTTCGAGCAGCTGCACCAATTCCTCATCTGCATGCTTCTTTAGAAAGCCAGCAGCAGCAGCAGCAGCAGCAGCAGCAGCAACTGCTGCTGCTGCTGCAGCAAAAGAGAAGAGGACCCGTAAGACAGGTGCAGCAGCGTTGTCTCCGCAGCAGCAGCAGCAGCAACTGCTGCTGCAGGAGCAGCAGAGTTTTGGCGTTGAGGATCTGTTGCAGCCAATGCTGGTGCCCTCCTATGAAGCAGCAGCAGCAGCAGCAGCAGCAGCACATGACCAAGACCTGCATATACACCTGAAGGACAAAGAAGGGCCAAACTATCGCCAGAAGGAGCAGCAGCAGCAGCAGCAGCAGCAAACGCAGTCAGACAGCAGCAGCAATAAGAGTCTTCTAAGGGATAATGATAGCTACAGCAGTAGCAGCAGCACAGGCAGCAGCACATGCAGCAGCACCACATGCAGCAGCAGCAGCAGCAGCAGCAGCAGCACGGAGGCATTCCTTGCTGCTGATGTTGCTTGGTGGCAAGGACGTGCTGCTGCTTGGCGGCAGCATGCGGTGTCTTCCTTCAAGCAGCTGCAGCAACTGCAGCAGCTAAGCAAACATCTGCAGCAGCAGCTAAGGTTAATGCAGCAGCAGCAGCAGCAACAGCAGCAGCAGGAAGCAAAACAGCAGCAGCAGCAACAGCAGCAGCAGCAGCAGCAGCAGCAAGTGTCAAATTAAGGCTCCATGTATTAGCAGTCTATACTCCATCTGTTACACATGCAGCAGCAGACAAAAAAACAGCAGCAGCAGCAACTTAAGCAGCAGCAGCAGCAGCAGCAGCAGCAGCAGCTGCTGCTGCTGCTGCTGCATGCATTGCTGCAGCGCAACCAACAAATATATAAACAAAAAATAATTTTTATATATTTATTTTATTTATGTATATTATGTATATTTATATATAATAAATAAATATATAAATAAGTAAGTAAATAAATACATAAATAAATAATAAATAAATAAATAAATAAATAAATAAATAAATAAATAAATAAATAAATAAATAAATAAGCAGCAACAGCAGCAGCAGGAAGCAAAACAGCAGCAGCAGCAACAGCAGCAGCAGCAGCAGCAGCAGCAAGTGTCAAATTAAGGCTCCATGTATTAGCAGTCTATACTCCATCTGTTACACATGCAGCAGCAGACAAAAAAACAGCAGCAGCAGCAACTTAAGCAGCAGCAGCAGCAGCAGCAGCAGCAGCAGCTGCTGCTGCTGCTGCTGCATGCATTGCTGCATCAAGGGCGGCAAAGAAACATTGTTATTCGTTGGGCAGCAGCAGTTGCTGCTGCTACAGCAGCAGCAACTTGCTGCTGCTGCTGTTGCTGTTGTTGCTGCAGCAGCAGCAGCAGCAGCAGCAGCAACAGCTCCTCTTGCTGCTATTAGAACACCCACGCAACCGTTTCTGCTGCTACAACCGCAGCAAGAACAGCAGCAGCTGCTGCTCCTCCTCCTATTGCTACTGCTGCTGCTGCTGCTGCTGCTGCTGCTGCTGCTGCTTAGCTAAGTGCAACAACTCTCCCCTTAGGTGTCTGCAGCAGCAGCAGCGCCTGAGACAAAGGCATGATTAGCTCAAGATTATTTAGTTGATAAGAAGTATAGTAACATAATACACTCCCCTCTACTCTCCCTGCTGCTGCTGCTGCTGCTGCTGCTGATGCTGCTGCTGCTGCTGCTGTACCTTCTCCTGCACCTGCAGCTGTTACTGCTGCTGCAGCAGCAGCAATAGGATCTACTGCTGCAGCAGCAGCAGGTAGAGACTGAGTAACGAGGTGTACGTACACCTCAGCACTACAAGGGGGGCCTAGCATTATTATTCTTTTTGCCCCTGCTAGTCTATAACGACGATAGAAACAGAAGCGACTAGTTGTTATTAATAGGCCTACATCTCCTGCAGCAGCAGCAGCAGCAGCAGCAGCAGCAACAGCAACAGCAGCAGCAGCAGGAGATAAAGCAGCAGCAAGAAGGAAGGATCCATATATTTACAAGAAAAAACGTCAACAAAAGCAGCAAAAATGGCACCGCAGCAGCAGCAACAACAGCAGCAGCAGCAGCAACAACACCAGCAACAGCAGCAGCAACAGCAGCAGCAGCAGCAGCAGCAGCAGCAAACTTACCATTAAGGAATGCTTGCCTATTTCTTGTTAATTTAGCATTAGATGTATATTCATGACAAACAACATAACTTATATTTTCTTTCTTTAATGATACTCTTAGCCTAAATAAATAAATAAATAAATAAATAAATATATAAATTAATTAATTAATTAATTATATTTATTTATCTATTTATTTATTTATTTACTTTTTTTTTTATTAAAAAAATGCAAAAAAATGATGGGTTTATTATTATTAGGGTTTAGGGTTTAGGGTTTAGGGTTTAGGGTTTAGGGTTTAGTAAGAAAAAAAAATGCATGCAGAGATAAAAAAAAAAAAGAAAAAAGATAAAAAAGATAAAAAGGAGACACATCTATTGTCTCCTTTTATTTATTATTTTATTATTTGTCTCCTTTTATTAACTATATATCTCCTTTTTGTCCCTTTTTTTGTCTCCTTTTTTTGTCTCCTTTTCTTTTAATCTAGATAATTATTATTAATAATAAGAAGTGTTAACTAACTGTCTCCTCCTATTAACTGTCTCCTTTATTTATTATTTTAAAATAAATAAATAAACAAACAAATAAATAAATAAATAAATAAATAAATAAATAAATAAATAAATAAATATACTTCTTTTTTTTTCTTACCTGCATATATCTAGATAATTATTAACAAGAAGAAGAAGAAGTTAACTATAACTACCTATCCCCTCCTATTAACTGTCTCCTTTATTTATTATATATAATAAGACTATTTATTTATTTATTTATTTATTTATTTATTTATTTATTTATTAATTTACCTGCATATATCTAGATAATTATTATTAATAAGAAGAAGTGTTAACTATAACTAACTGTCTCCTCCTATTAACTGTCTCCTTTATTTATAATAAATAAATAAATAAATAAATAAATAAATAAATAAATAAATAAATAAATAAATAAATAAATAAATAAATAGACTTACCTGCATATATCTAGATAATTATTAACAAGAAGAAGAAGTTAATTATAACTACCTATCCCCTTCTATTAACTGTAATAAGACAATTTATTTATTTATTTATTTATTTATTTATTTATTTATTTATTTATTTATTTATTTATTTATTTATTAATTTACCTGCATATATCTAGATAATTATTAACAAGAAGAAGAAGTTTTGTCTTAATTCCCTCAAATGTTGGCAAAATATTTAACACAAAATAATCCAATAATGCCTGCATGCATGCAAATATACAGAAGCTGCTGCTGCTGCTGCTGCTGCTGCTGCTGCTGCTGCTGCTGCTGCTGCTGC